ACGATCATCTGCCTTCCTCGCATCTTTTGTGAGTTTATTTTACTACGGCGTCTGTCTCGCTCGGACACGACTTGGCCCCAAGATCTTTGATGCGAAGACCGTCACTCCGATGATGTGGGACTCTGGGCTTTGTGTCGGTGCGGGATGTCTCATGTGTGGCTGGAGTATATTGGTTGAAAAGGCGCGGAAGAGGCAGGAGCTAGCACTATTTGTGGCACCCCGGGCTGCCGCCGCGGTTTTGCCACGGTTGTATGATAAAAAGGTATGCATCGGACCCTCGCATCCTCTGTCCACAACAGGGTTACACCCACATCCCCTCCACCCCCTTTTCAATGTCTCCAATTTAGCCTGTGGCAGGTTCCAAAACAATCACGAGGTGCTAACGCGTGTTGGTGTTTCCCAGTATCAATATCGAGAGCGTGTTGCATTTGCTGTTAGCGCTGCTATTCTTATCACTTTCCTCCGCGAGCGACCCACCATGGTACGAGGGGTTTTTGGTCGCATCACATCTAATGTGTTGAATTAGACTTTTCTTTCAATGAAATGCCTCGAAGGTATCAAACGGTTGTATTAGTTGTTGGTTATTTTGGACTTCGGGTCTGACTTCTGAGTGCTATTACCCTGTATTAATCTTATGATATTTGCATCCTTATGCACGTTCAAATGTTCCAAACCTGATAGTACCGGTTAATAGTTATACTATATACAAGGCAAATAGTATGTTGTAAATGAGTCGTCGATCATGCTAATCTGCAGGTTGGGCAGCCGGAAGGGTGCAGTTGGGCCTATGTATTTTAAATGATCACGATCCAATTAATCTTCATCGGCAAATCAACAATCAATGCAAGATTCACATATCCAACCCCGTTGTCTCAATGTTGCTCGCCGTTTAGATGTAACGTGACCCCGAAGCTTAGGGCTTATCGATAAGCCATCGAATCAGAGTTGTCATCACGTGTTGGGGATACGCTGGATCTCATGCGACTCAACATCCGATCCGATTGAAGTCATAGAACCATGTTTTCACGATTACTCCCCTCGCTAGGGCGCTCTGCACTGACGGGGACGATCCCCCAGCGCTCAGTCTGTCTACGGAAGAGCGTCTTCGAGGTAGAGCGGAGGTACTTCTCAAGGAATTTCCTGCTTCATGAACGCCATTCATCTGCGGCGCCTTTTAATACCCCAGAATCGCAGAAACGCAATGCCTCTACTATGTGAGCTGCCATTGAACCCGCATTTGAGGTAATCCTTGTCCTAACAAAGCCCCCGATCAGGTACTATACCATCAGTCTGATCCTCGGAACGGTTGCCCTTGCATATGGATCTGTCCCTCTTTACAAAATGGTATGCCAAGCTCTCACTCTCTCGCTCGATCCAAAGTACACCCTAAACAGAATCTCATTCTGATCCCAATTGCAGATCTGCCAACAGACCGGTTGGGGTGGTCAGCCCATCCTCACCCACCGGACCGGCGACGGCGATACCGCTGCACGTGTGACACCAGTGACAGACTCTCGTCGTCTACGCATCACATTCAACGGCTCGGTATCGGATGTCCTCCCTTGGAAGTTCACTCCCCAGCAGCGCGAGGTCCGAGTGCTACCCGGTGAGACGGCGCTGGCATTCTACACCGCAACGAACAAGGGCCCGCAGGATATTATTGGAGTCGCAACATACAGTGTCACGCCAGGTCAGGTTGCGCCGTACTTCAGCAAGATCCAATGTTTCTGCTTTGAGGAGCAGAAGCTCAATGCGGGAGAATCGGTCGATATGCCTGTTTTCTTCTTCATTGATCCTGACTTCGCTACCGATCCTAACATGAAGGGTATTGATACCATTACCCTTTCATATACCTTCTTCAGTAAGTTTTGTGTCTATTTTTTCGCTTTCTTGGCCTGGTCTAACCCCAAAGCAGAAGCGAAATATGATGACAACGGTGTTCTGACGCCAATCGCATCATAAGAAGCTCATACCAAGGGCGCATCGGGGTGCTGTATTTTTCAACTATGTGGATTCGCATAGATTTGGACATTTAACAGTGAACAAGGAAACATGCATGATGTTGTGTCCGGCTTTTTCGCATCTATCTCATCTCTCGAAGCAAATTTTTGCATGTACTATACATCTCGGAGTTTGGCGGAAGGCTGCCAAATGCCTAGAAAAACTATATATCTGTATATATTATTGAATTTATTCGCATGTAATTGTACAATCATCATCGAATTGAGCTCTTTGATGCCCTTTGCTGCATCCATCGATATAGTGGGAGCGTGCACGGACCAGTGATTAATTAGGCGCGTGTCTGGACGCGTTCTCCAGTCCGCATCCTCTATCGAAAAACCACCAGCACTCCGATTCCTCAATCCTCTCAACAGTCCTACAGAGTTTTTAAAATGGCTCTCCTCGTGGACAAGCTGCGGCCACGCACTCTTGATGCTCTTTCGTATCACCCCGAGCTCTCTGATCGCCTGCGGTCACTGGTAAGAAACCCTGACCTGCGGAACATGAACACGATTTTGATACAAGGGACCATCGATAGGCACAAAGCGGTGATTTCCCCCATTTACTAGTCTACGGACCCTCGGGCGCTGGCAAGAAAACACGCATAATTGCGACACTAAAAGAACTGTACGGCCCCGGTGTCGAGAAGATTAAGATCGACGCCAGAGTCTTCCAAACGACAAGCAACCGAAAGCTAGAATTCAACATTGTCTCGTCGGTATACCACCTCGAGATTACCCCCGCAGATGTCGGACAATATGACCGAGTCGTCGTCCAGGAATTGCTCAAAGAGGTTGCGCAGACGCAACAGGTGGATCTCGGTGCGAAGCAACGGTTCAAGGTCGTCGTGATCAACGAAGCCGACCATCTCACACGTGATGCCCAAGCAGCTCTCAGACGGACTATGGAGAAATACAGTCCCAATCTGCGATTGATTCTCCTAGCCAACAGCACCTCCAACATCATTGCACCAATCCGCTCCCGAACCCTGCTGGTCAGGGTTGCCGCACCTACTGAAAGCGACATTTGCTCTGCGCTCCATCTTGCAGGGAAAAAGGAAGGATGGACAGAGTCCGAGGTGCTTAACAAGAGGATTGCAAAGGAGAGTGGACGGAATCTGCGCCGTGCGCTGCTCATGTTCGAGTCCATTTATGCGCAAAAGTGAGTCTTCGCTTCGATACTCATTAAACTGGATTTCGGAGGCTTACCTTTTTTTCGTAATTTAGTGAAAAGGTTACGGACAAGACGCTCATCCCGCCTCCGGACTGGGAAGCTCTCGTTACTCTCACAGCAGATGAGATTCTGGCTGAACGGTCACCAGCTCGACTGTTGCATGTCCGCGCACGTCTTTATGATCTTTTGACTCATTGTATCCCACCGACGACTATTTTGAAGGTGTGTATCCATATTTATAATTCACATGCTCCAGATACTAACTGTTGGCGCTAGACCTTGACATTCAAGCTCGTTGCACGAGTTGATGATGCATTGAAGCCAGAAGTTATCAAGTGGTCTGCTTTCTACGAGCACCGCATCAAGCTGGGAAGTGTAAGTAATTGATGAAGGTTATTGCTACCAATTCAAGCGCTAATGAAGCACTCAATACAGAAAGTAATCTTCCATCTCGAAGCCTTCGTGGCCAAGTTCATGCGCATCTATGAAAGGTATGCTTTCCCTGGATAATTTAACAGAGACATAACTAACAATAGACTAGCTATCTCATGGGCATGGACTTTTAATACTCACTACCAACAAACCAAGATAATGGATGAATGACGATTTGTACACTAAGGTGGTTTTCAGTGAGCATGGGACCTAGGAAGCTATGGTCTGCTATTAAGCAGAATCATACTTTTTCGAAATCTCCAGGTATCCAAATTATTTCCATTTTTCACGGGCGCATGAAGGCATTTGCTGAAAGGATTCTGGCGTTATATCACTTGTCATTGTGTACTATCTCTGAGGTGGTAGAAAGATACTTGCATACATCAATCTCTCAAAGTCATAGTTATATATATACTTCAACAGTGAAGCTGTGTCCGCATTGTAGAGGTAGTCAATTCTGAGTAGCATAGATTTGATGCAATGATATCTACCCCGAATTTTGTATATCAGAGTCCATGGGTGTCCTCTTAACCTACGTCATCACATCCCCGTCATCCATTAACTGGACCACCCACTAGAAACATCGTAATAGCTTTCATCTTTTAATCATGCTATATTTTCAATAATGTTGTATCTATCATTGTCCCATCACTATACTTCTACCCCAACACGAACAACATCCGAAATGTCCGACCCCAGACTTATTGATATGGAACCCGGCGGAGAGAGCACTCAGTATGGATTGCATCAAGATCGCCTCTTGCAATTTCTCTTCACTAATAAGAGGGCACAGATATGAGTCTATCAGAGAATTCACCAAGACTCCCTTAAAGCAAACCGGACAATTGGGGGGTATGACCTTCCTTGAAGATAATACTGAGTGTACTATAGCAATGACTGACCTCATGTAAGTCGGCCTTAAGCACACTACAAGCGAAGTGAGCCCTGGACTAGGAACACATAGCCCGGCTCCCAGCTATGACGAGGATTTCCAGGCCCAGAAGCTGGGCATGGGAGCAATGGCTGACTCTGGTAAAGGTAAATGCTGAATATATTTTCCTTGTCTAAACTCCTAGTATCAAGACAAAAGATCCATCGGAGGAGCCCGTGCCTCGATGGTTCCTAAAGAGACGCAAACAGCTGATGATAATGTACAAAAGATATAACACGTGCCGAGGACGATGCCGTGGCCAAGGCCCGCAGACAGCAGGGGTATGGGCCTGGGTCTGGTGTCGGGGCTTAGTCGGCGAAGACGACAAAAGCAAAAGACATGACCGATGAAAAAAAGGGAAAACGGTATCATGCGGGAAACGACAGTTTATTGGGTAGGTTCGGAGCTGGAGGAGGAGCTCTTCGGAGGTGAAGCGATGTCGTTGGTACCAAGAGGTGGGTTTCTACGTGCGCGCTTGAGAGATTCGAGAGTGACACCGTTTCCGAGCTTTGTGATACCGACGACGGGGGGGGTCATTTTTGTTAACGAATTCCCAGAGACCTAATGAATGAGAATGAACATCTTTCGTACCCCAAAATAGTAAATGCAGAGGAATGCACAACCTACCAGGCAATTTGTGGCCCGCCAATCTGAAAGCCTCGCGGGCAATCTTCTCGTGGACATCTCCCTTCAATTCGAAGACAATTCGGCTCACGGGCAGTCGGACAGTCCAGTAGTCGAACTTACCCTTACCCTTACCCATACGCTGCTCGTTACCCTTGGTGTAGACACCAATGTTGGCGCTGACACGCTTGTACAGCTTATAGTTCATTCCTCGTAGCCGCCGCTTGATGGTCTCTTCAGCGATCTTCAGCGCCGATGCGGGCATGCGGCGGTCGTGGTCCTTCATGCGCAGACCAAAGTCTCCCCACACGACTGTTGTTCCTCGGGTGGATCCGCCGGTAGCGACGTGAGGGCGACCCTTGGGTGACTTGGATTTTTCTTGGAATTTCGGAGTCAACCAATCAAGGGCGGGCGAGGTGGTAGAGAAGCATCGTGATAGAGAAAAGGTGGCCAGCGGTCCCGACACTGTGTCGCACTGTTAGTCTTCGGCCGAATGGATTTTCTGGGAATTAAATGGCTCGTACGGGTTGGCCGTGTGCAGGCGGAGAGCGGTCCAGCAAACATCTTGATCTGTGGACCCATTGTGAGGAGGGAGGCGGCGAGATATACCAATGTTGCGAAAGGCTTCGTTACTCCGGCACTTTTCGATGATTGGCACTAGTCCCGAAGTGGAAGGGTGGTTTACACGTGACACATGTCCTACTCACTTATGTTGCCTTGTAAATCAGGCCTCAATGTCAGTCCACTAACTATGTACGTACAGCATCTTTCATTCTAGAGTGGCTCTAAATAGTACATTGTTGGTTTGAGATGTGCTTAATTGTACTAGAGGAAGTCTACACTGCGCTGCCTACATACACAATAAGTAAAACTATAAGTAGATATACGGTACATACTACCTATGTTCAAGTCTGGCTGATAATCCTCTAGCCCTTTCCCAGGGCTTTGTAATTGTACTTAGTGGCCCATCTTACTATAGAAATGTTATGCATAACCTATCTTATTCGATGGGTTGGGCAAAATCCTATGCTCCTTTCACGTTTCTTATAGTTCCTACAGCTGCACATAGCTTATGTACGCTAATCCTAAAAAGGAAGAAAGTGCTGCCTTACGTCAGCCAGTCACGTCCGGGAGTGTGTCGCGTCGTTCGCGACCTACCAAACGCTGCGGCAAGAGCTCGATTGGTCTTCAACCAATTCCCCAGTTACTATTCTACGCCGAATTCTGTGTGCCTGATTGGGGCTCACTATGGATATCCGGAATTTTTTTGGCGGGAAGCCAAGTCAAGGCTCCAGCGACGCCGCCGCGAAGCCCGCGGCCAAAAAAGAGGTAAGCTGGTGCCTTGCTCATGAGAGGAGGTCCTGGTCACTTTATATGTGATTTAGCGCCCTTTGAATCGCTCGAGATTATAATCTAACCTCAAATCCAACAATGCAGGACTCATCCACCACAAGAAAGAGACGTATGCTCTCCATAATCCATACTCCCTCATCACTAGTCTAACGCAAGAACAGGCAGCAGGAAAGTTGTGGATGACAGTGACGAGGAAGAAGATGTAGCACCCGTCAAAGCCCCTGCTACCAAAGCAAAGCCCAAAAGTCAGCCGTATGTCCATCGCTGGGTTGAAATGTCTCATACCATTTGACTGATGAACTTTTATTGCAGAAAGCCTGAAGAAACTAAAGAAGAACCTACAACATCCTCTGCCTACTTCGCATCCAGTAAGAAGAAGACACGGCCTGCAAAACCGACCGAGCAAGCTCAGCCCGATAAAGCCAAGATTGTCGCCGAAAGTCCTAAACCCAAGAAGACTGCCGAAGAACCCGTGAACAAAGGTCGAACCACTACACGAGGATCAACAAAGAAAGCCACAAATGTCCTTGAGGATGAAAATCTCGGCGCCGATGACATTTTTGCAACCGAATACGGGAAGGCCGGCAAAGGAGAGGACGCTTATGTGGCCGAGGATGATAGCGACGAGGATAGTGACTTTGAAATGCTCGAGGTGAAGCCAGCCGCTGCAGCATCGAAGAGGACACAGAAGAAGCAATCCTCTCGCGATGATGAGGATGATGTGGTCATGGAAGATCTCCCCAAGATTCCTGCCCCGAAGGCTGGACCTGGCCGCAAGCGCAAATCGGAAGCTCTCATCGACGAGGATGAAGATGGTGACTACCAAGAACCCAAAAAGGAAACCAAAAAGGCAGCCCCGAAGGCCAAGGCCGCGGCATCGCCAGCTGCGAAGAAGCAAAAGGCTAGCCCTAAAAAGGCTAAAAAGGAGGATAAACCAGAGAGCAAAGAGCTCCAAGATATCTTCGACAGCATTCCTACGATTGAAGCCCCAGAACCTCCTAAGGGAGAGCCAAAGAAGTTCAAATTTGGAGCACAGCAAAGCCGGGACCCGGCAACGACTGGGACTAAGGAAATGCCCGTTGGGCAAGAAAACTGCCTTGCTGGCTTGTCGTTCGTTTTCACTGGCGTTCTGGAATCCCTCGGCCGCGAAGAGGGTGCGCAATTGGTGAAGAAGTATGGAGGCAAAGTCGTTGGTGCTCCTAGTTCTAAAACGAGCTATGTGGTCCTCGGAGGTGATGCCGGCCCAAAGAAGCTTGAGACCATTGCGAAGCACAAGATCAAGACCATCAACGAGGACGGGCTCTTCGAATTAATTCGACGACTGCCTGCCAACGGCGGTGATGGGAAGGCAGCCGAAAAGTACGCCGAGAAACTGAAAGCCGACGAGGCTAAGGTCCGTGCCATGGCGGCCGAAATCGATGCGGAGGAGAAGAAACGAGAAGAGCAAAAACGAAAGACGGCCGCGGCTCAAGCACCCAAAACCACCGCCGCAGCTTCTCAGACGCCACCAAGCTCACAGCCCGCATCATCTGGCGATCTCTGGACCACGAAATATGCCCCAACATCGACCAGTATGATCTGTGGTAATAAGGGTGCCGTGGAAAAGATTCAGAGCTGGCTGCGGAACTGGCATGCCAATGCCCAGAACGATTTCAAAAAGGGCGGTAAAGACGGATCGGGAATATACCGTGGTGTTATGATTCACGGTCCCCCGGGAATCGGAAAAACTACAGCAGCCCATCTCGTGGCGAAGCTGGAAGGATTCGATGTCGTGGAGACCAACGCCAGTGACACCAGAAGTAAGAAGCTTGTCGAGAGCTCCACCCTGGGTGTGTTAGACACAACATCATTGCAAGGATATTTCGCCGGACAAGGCAAACAAGTGGATAATGAAAAGAAAAAGCTCGTCCTCATCATGGATGAGGTCGATGGCATGTCTGCCGGTGACCGTGGAGGTGTGGGAGCTGTCGCAGCCATTGTCAAGAAGACCAAGATTCCAATCATTCTTATTTGCAATGAGCGAAAGCTTCAAAAGATGAAACCTTTCGACTTCATCACTTATGACGTGCCATTCAGACGCCCGACTGCTGAGCAAATTCGAGCAAGGCTGTCCACTATTTGTTTCCGAGAAGGCCTCAAGATTCCGCCTCCTGTACTTGATGGCCTCATTGAAGGAACACATGCCGATATCCGCCAGGTCATCAACATGCTTTCCACCGCAAGACTAGATCAAAAAGGTCTCAGCTACGACGAAGGCAAGCAGATGTCAAAGTCGTGGGAGAAGAATATCATCCTCAAGCCGTGGGATATTGTCAGCAAAATTCTCAGCGCCCAGATGTTCTCTCCGAGTTCCACTGCGACCCTGAACGACAAGGTCGAGCTTTATTTCAACGATCACGAGTTCAGTTACCTGATGCTTCAGGAGAATTACCTCAAGACCAAACCCGCTCTCGCAGGCAAATATCATGGCCAGGAACAACGACTGAAGTCGCTTGAATTGCTGGATAATGCCGCCTCGAGTATCAGTGATGGTGACCTTGTCGACCGCATGATCCACGGCACCCAGCAGCAGTGGAGTCTTATGCCCACCCATGCGATCTTCAGTTTCGTGCGGCCGGCCAGCTTCCAGTACGGAAACTTCAATGAGCGGCCTGCATTTACTAGCTGGCTGGGCAATAACAGCAAACATGGTATGTTTTGGAGGCCCACCCATCGTCTGTATACACTCTCTAACTAATTTACCCTTCAGGCAAACTATCACGATACGTCAAGGAAATACAGGGCCACATGCGTCTTCGTACCACAGGTAACCGCGACGAGATCCGTCAGCAGTACATGCCCTTGCTCCAGGAGAAGATGATACGCCGAATGATGGACGAAGGCAAGGACTGCGTCGACTCGGTCATTGATCTTATGGATGAATACTATCTCACTCGCGAGGACTTCGATTCCATGGTTGAACTAGGACTCGGCCCAATGGACGAGTCTAAAATAAAACTTGAGACACAGACCAAAGCCACCTTCACGCGACTGTACAATTCGCGTTCGCACCCCATGCCATTCATGAAGGCTAGCAATGTTGTGGCACCTAAGCAGGCAAAGAAGGAGAAGCCTGATATTGAAGATGCTCTTGAAGGATCCGATGAAGAAGAAGTTGTCGAAGAGACCAAGAATGACGATGAGGAAGAACTTGATCTGAAGAAGGATAAGTATGTGACCTTGCCTAAGAAAAAGAAGGCGCCGGCCAAGGGCAAGAAGACGAAGAAGGCCGATGACGATGTTGATGCCGAGGAGGAAAAGCCGAAAAAGGCTCGTAAGAGCAGGGCCAAGCCCAAGGCTTGAGAGATTATTATTATTTTTTTGTAGCATATTATCCATTTGTTAAGAAGCATGCGTTTCATAGGGTTGGTGCATTTCAGTATGATATCTCTGAGGACACCAATTTAATTGTTTACATTTTGATGTGTCTTCGTATTTTTCTTTCTTCTCTCTGTTTCTCACTAAACGTGACCCTTCGCGAGTGTCGTGCTCTTTTCTCATCTCTTACACCTCGTACACCTCTTTCACCTCAGCTGTTGCTGTCTCAACTCTTGTTTTGTGCAGACTTGCTCCTGCAGCCAAGATGACTTCTGTACCTGGTACCTTTGACGATGTCACACCAAGTACGTCTGATATAAATACACGCTCATCATGGATATACACACTCTATCTTTTCTTCTTTCTACAGATTCTCTGGACACAAGGCATCCGAACATCTCGGACAGAAAACAGAAAACTCCTTATAATAGTATAATATGTTCCACGACCAGAATTCTCAATTTTCCTCGAGATTGAGAGCATAGTCACTTGCGTAGCAATGATTGATTCGTCAAGTATGTTGCAGGTACATCGACGTAGTTGAGAACGTTGAAGTTGGTAGGGTGACCCCCTTGGCGGGGAAACGATCTGCGGAGAACACCAAAGTTCCCTCTCTTCTTGCTTTTGGCATACAACGCTCCTTTCTCTCCTTTCTCTCCTTGATATCTTTATCTTTTTGATCTGTTTTTTCCAGGCTGGTCCTGTATAAGCTATATGAGCTAGTCTCATTCGCTTTCATCCCTCCCTTTATTACCTCGAGCATGCGCTTTTAGCTCGAGTTGCTGTGATTATCCAGACCTCGATCGCTACTACGCAGCACACCCCTCCTTACTACAGACATATGTCCTCGTGAAAGCCGAGAATATGTCTCTTCTTCACAATGAAGAGTAAGTCGCGTCCGGAATTGCAGAGCGCCCCGTCAAATCGCCGCGAAAAGGTCTCCAAGGACTAACCCGAATATAGCTTTACGATCTGGCAATTACGCTCCTCATATCTCTCGACAATCAAAGATGGAATTGGGGACCGACTGATCAACGTCAACGACTCCGTCCTGAATACACCTGGCTTCCGTGCGGCGGGCTGGTCAACCGCCGCGGCTTACCCCAACACACACAGCTCCTCCCACCTGAAGCGCACTTACTCCCCACCCATTCCAACAACGGCGAACGTTTCGTCTGAATATTACAGGCTAGCAGAACGAAATGCAAAACCCCAGCACCACGACTTGCAAGGTCTAGGCCTGGAAGACGGCGAGGATGATGGTGGTATGGTGACCGGCAAGAGTCATACGGACATGACTGCGCGGCGAAATCACGCACGCGGCGGAAAGAAGAAAACTCGGCGGGAAAGGCAACAAGAGGTCCAGAGACAAGCGGAAGCAGAGGACGACGATAGCAGCGATCTGAGTGATGACAGCGACGACGATGGAGACAATGTTGGCAGGTTGGTGAATTATTGATTGATATTCTACTTTCCTATCTGACAAAGATCAGTGCTGTTGATCAGATCAAATTCGACAAAATGCCCATCCGCCGAGATCGAGCCGACTCCTCTCCAATACGTTCTGGGGAACCGAGGGAACGGCCAGAGGTGATGGTCACATCGGCGTCAACACAAAACCTTGCAAGTCAATACCGCCAAGTAAAACCACGCCCCCGTCGAGATACAACTACTAGCAGTGACCTGTCCACGGATAATGAAACCGATCCCAGAGGCTACAAACAAGGACAAGTTCAATTCTCCGTGAGCGATCAGGTCGTCGAGTATTCGCGCAGACGGCGTGAACGCACAGGCAGCCGAGGCGCAGAGAGCCTAGCCCTCGGGGAACTCCACGAAGAGGACGAGGACGAGGATTCCGGTGCCGAGTCTGTTGGGTCTGCAATTTCCTCCGATTTTGACAATACGGCTGGATCTGGCTCTTTGCTGCTGGCAGGTGTGGCGGGCGGTTTGAATTTGTCCTCGCCCATGACTATGATGAACAAGCTACCCTCTGGCACAGGGCCGCAAAACAATTCACCTCGCAAGCATCGCACTCCGGCTCCTGCATTGCAAGATCTTCCCCCGCCACGGCCTATCAGCATGTTACAGCCGGTCAGCTTATTGACCAGCCAGCTTACGTCCCGGAAGCGAGCACCGAGCAATCCAGTGGATAAATTCGTGGTGCTCTCTGGGCGAGGCCAAGAGGACTCGTTGTACTTGAAGATCTACGTTCCATTTTCAAGCGACCCCGAAGACCCGCTAGATCTGCCACTTACACGCGAGTCTAAGCTTGCAGAACAGCCCGCACAGGTGACTGTCGCTGAGACTATTGGTCTTGCCCTGTGGAAATACTCGGCGGACGCTCGCGGTCCAGCAATTAGCCGCGAAAATCTGACCGTGAACCGATGGACGCTACGGATGGTCGATGATGGCGAAGTCGAATATGACTTCCCAGCGCTTGGGCGGACTCTTCCAATGACGGACTTCACGTCGAACAACAATCAATCTGCCAAGTCTCGAGGACGGTCAAGGGGCAAGCCTTACGATGAATTCGCACTGGTTGAAGCGTCGCAATCGGAGTTTGAGGAGAATGAACGCCTATATCCACAGTTTAGTTCAAGCATTGGGTCAGAAGAGTCGGATCAGCCGGCGAATCTTGCAGCCCCGGGGGCTCAACCCGCTACACAGAACAAGACCCCTCAAACCACACCAGCCCGAGCAAACCCCATCCTAGGCCAGCCATTCTCGTCTGCGCTTAACCACAGCACTCTTACTCCTGCTGATCGCCCCGCGGTACCTATCTCGCATGCTACTCCCCGTCTCGGTGTTTCCAAGACATTAAAGATTCGCTTCATCAACATGGAGGCTTCCGCACATGTCATGACGATCAACACATCTACCGACAGCTACATAGCCGAAATTCTGGACTCCGTATGTAAACGATGGGGCCAGGATAAGGGCAACTATCTCTTAAAGGTGATGGGGTCAAACACGATTGCACCACTTGATCGTACAGTGGAGGCATTGGGCAGCATCACAGAACTTGATCTGGTGCGTCGTCGCTTCGGCGGCGGGCCCCTTGCGCTTGGAACCTCACCGGGTAGCTCATCGCCAAACGCGCCTTTGATGGTGGAAAGTGCCGACCCGACAACCTCCAAGAAGAGCAAGAAGGAGGCTAAGAAGGGCGCGCAGCGCATGTTGCCCTCATCTTCTCAGAAACAAGACCACCTAGGCGGATATTACCGCCGGTACCATGTGTTCCGCAAACAACCCATGTCTTTCACAGCATCCAACCACCGGATCCTCACGTTCGAAAATGATTACATGCATATCGTGCCCGGTGATACGGGCAAAACGGCATCCGGTGGCAAGACCCGATCGATCAGCTTTAGTGATGTGATTGGATCTAAGGTCAGCCGACGGCACCCCAAGAGCTTCCGGGTGATGATCGTGCGCGGCAATGATGCCACGGAGCAGAAGCGCTATGACTTTGAAGCAAGGAGTACGAATGAGGCTGTGGAGATCGTGGATGAGATCAAGAAGAACATGGCACATTATCGCATTTGATTATCTGCTCTTTCGGGCATGGAATTGTGTTTTGGGGGGTGGGGGTTTGGACTTCGGGTTAGTAATGGCGTTGTACAGGCATTATTCAACAATGAACATTCAACATTCAATCAAGCTTTCCAGTTGTATTTGGATTTTAGTATGGATTTAACCAACAAGCAATAAGTGAGGATGTTAGAACCCCAGCTACCCGGATTATACCGAAACAGAGCCTACATCTCTAATATTCCACAGCGTACAAGCAAAGATCAGAACTACCTGAGTACCTTAAGTTGAGCCTTTCGCGACCCCTCCGCTTTTTTCAAGCTTTCGTCCAAGGTAATTGGCATAGCCCTTCACGCTCACTAGTCCTATCGCAATTAAAAATGCCAGAAGATGAAATCTCTGGTCGCAAACCTCCTCAGAGTTCCAATGGCCACACACTGGGAGAGAGCCAAAGAGAAAAGCCAGGATTGTAAAGATAGTTCTATATTCCCCCTACATTTAGTAATTATCACCAATGGTATGTACTTATCTGCTTACAGGAAAGTATGTTTAACAAGCGGTGCCATGAAGTATTTAACAACGAGGTTATCGGGATAAGAGTCCACAATCAACATGAGGGGTGAAGTGGGTAGCTCATCATCCGGTTGGATTCCTGCAGAGGATCCTAGGGATGGGATAGGTGTTGTTTGGAGGTCTTTTTGCTCCATATTGACACTGGAGATGTAGAGAGGTACGTTGGAGAACTGTTGAGAACGAGAAAGTTGGACCGATGGAGATGGGAGGCAAAAAACTAAATTTGGGCGGTGAAACATCAAGTTATCTCCAGGATGAGAACGTTGTCTTAGATATTGTTATTATAATACGTGACTGTAATGTATAGGCAGTATCAAGCCGATACCTAAAGGGTATGGAGTGGAGCTAGTGGAGCTATAGGGTGTACAAAAGTACTCCGTACATCCTCCGGGCATCAACGGTTGATTAACTATAGAGTATTTTGGTAATCCTCATCCTGGCGGTTGAAATTGCAGAGTATCAAGGGTACAACATAGTAGAATGTCGAGTGTGACGTCCATGCTATTTCCTTCTCTAGATATGATCTTAGTACGAGTGAAATCCGTACTATAAGAATTATCAACTTATTCTTAAAAAGAATAGTCGGCCGTCTATGCGGCCGTATCATGTCTTTTAGATGCTCTTTTTAGATGCCATCTTTAGGTGTATACAAATTCCGTTTTCCGTTTTTACAGAATGCTTGTGGCAGGAAGTCACAATGTTCGAAGAGGAAGGAACGAGTCGAACGACCCAAAAAGTCAATTCGTTAATTTACTCCAAAGCCAACAGAAATTTCCTCATTGATATTCCGTGTATTTTGCAGACCTAAGAGGAACAAATCTCACTGCCGTGAAGATGAGGTCAGAATAAGGTCGGCTGTTAAACAGCAGCCTGCCACTCCCGAGGTCGTTGTAGAACGGTGGAGATCAACTCTAGAGATGTTTGTATTTTGATTGGTCAGTATACAATTAAGATATAAGACTAACCTTGATTCGTTGGTCCCGTAATCCATGGAGAGAGAGAAGCAAGACTAACTAGACGGAAATATTAGAGAAAGCCCATCAGGTCAGATGAAATCGCATCGACTCTTGCTATTTAAGGTAGGTCTTTCCTCCTCTTTCAATGTTACCAGTTTTTCAACTCCACAATCTCCAATCTCGACAACATAGCATCATGAACCTTTTCGGAACATATGACTCGACTGCTTTCCACGGCATCTCATCTCTTCATGATGCCAACAAGCACTTTCGAGCCAAGAATGGCCTTTCCCTTGTGGAGACGAAGTTGAAGTCTCTGATACTGCAACACGGTGTCGCAAATCTTTTCGGGGTCGCGCTTGTCCATCGCCATTTCGACCTTGAAGAGGGAACTCTCCTTGTCGAGAAAGACATGGTCACAGCTCCTTGGAAATGTGACCGTTCCTTCACGAAGCACGGTGGGAGAATTATCCCGACATCTTGGTTCTATCAGGGGGATAGACTCTATCCTTACGAATTCGCCTTTTTCCCGTGTTCCAAGGTCACACCCCCAGAGCTGGAAGAACATACATGTTTTGTTGAGGCGTTTTTTGAGGCTGTCAAACTTTACGGGCTGGATGATTTCGTCGGTCTCCGTCGTCTGTCTGGACAAGAATCCACGGGAATGCTGGAGTGCACCGAGGGAAAAGTGAATATCATGTTTGCAAGCAACGAGGTTCGTTCAATTATATCTCTGCCTTGGTGTATCACAACTCTCACTTAAACAGATCCCCGCTGAACTTCTTCAAAACGGAACTGATACAATGTGGTTTTTTGATGGTCAGCCACCATACCGCATGTATCGATGTGCCTGTACAGATGTAGGCGGTGCACTGAACCCGAACCACAATCATATCGACCAGCCTTGAAACACGCTAGAGGAAGCAACTCTACTGGTGAGTAAAATAATCTTTTGGCCACCGGTTTCCTCTGTACTCATTGTCAACTAGGTCGTTTGCTTTATTGTTTGAAACCAATGCGCTGACACTTTTGTGCTGTCACTACCTACCTCTCACTTGTGATGGATTTTCTTTCTAATCACTTTGTTGTTGATAACTCCAGTTCTTTCCACTTAAATCAATGCTTAGCTATGTCCATCATTTATCGTTCAAGAATAGGAAACATGGCACAGCGGTAGATTAATTTTCCTAAATTCCACCATTACGAATAAGAATGCCAAGACCAATAGGTTAGTTTAATTCATTTAATTAATGGGTTGGGTGTGTCCAGGCTCAGTGAATTTAAGCATCATAATTATATAAGCCATATGTAGGGACCGCGGGCCGTCCCGGGAGACCCGCTCCCACTATGTACCTAAGTATATACTACGCAGTACCTACCTAGGTATTTACCTACGCATGAGTCATGTACCTTATTCTTTCTCCTCTCTCTCTGCCAATTCACATTTTTAAACGCCAAGGTCACTTTCATTTCCCAGGAGTTTAAATATGGCAGGCCCACTTGATCTGCTCTCTGAAGCTAGCCGCCTTCGCCTAGGAGTCCCATGCTCACTTGCCGACAAACCTCCTTGCCACGGCGGCTCACACTGCGTATTCGAAGTTGTCTTCAAAGAATCCGTAAGATAGGCTGCCCGAGTCAATAACGGTTCCAATGATTGAAAAAAACGAACTGCGAGCCTGTGAACAATTTCAGCATATGAAACAGCAACGCGTAGAGATCAAAGCGCCAAACCGTTGTGTGGAACCAGAGTACCCTGTGCTGTATTCAGAATGGGTCAGTGGCAATCCGCTAGTAATCTAGAATTCCAAAATCCCTGTGGTTAAGCGTTAAAGGCTTTTGGATGATCTTGCGGACTTTCTGTCGCAACTATGGACTACTCCCGTCCCTCGGGCCTTTTAGTGCAGAGCAAGATTGTCTGTTTCAGGAGTATTGGGTGTTGGCCTGGAATCAACGCCCATCTAGATGAATCAATTGGCTTTGATTTCGGGCATACATACTGTCCATCCAACCATTTACGTGCTAAGCTAGTGATACCAACAGCCGATTGTTGATGGCTGAAATTTGCATCTCAATATTGAGGTAGTCTAGAAAAGAATTTTCATGATCAATAACCTTAGATTTCGCTACCCATATTTTCGATTGTATCTGTTCTACATCCAGAAATGAAAATTTCCAATGACAGTGCTTTTTGATTGCCCTCATTCTCTATAATTGATAATAGGCCAATCTCACACAAACAAAACTTATCTGAATTTGTCTGGGATTGCTTGAGAACCCGAGTTTTCTCATTTCATACTTATAAGCCTGACCATCTAAAGGTCGATGGGAGATTGAAAATGGCCCGCGTAATCTCGTCCTTCGGATCGGCGCTTCTAGAGATAATTACTGCAAAGTCTCCGGCCTCAGCAAGCCACTGAGAGTACTCCTCGCTCCAGAAAGAGAGAGAATACTTGTCCAGCGAGATGCGGCACGTTTGCTTCTCACCCTTTTTGATGAGAATTTTCTTAAAGGCTTTGAGCTCCTTGATGGGTCTCAGGACTGAAGACTCCAAGTCGGCGACATATACCTGGATGACTTCTGATCCGTCATAATTACCTGTATTTTCGATATCCACGGAGACTTCCAAGACATAATGTTCCTCTGGCACGAACGTGTCACTGATGACCAGGTTTGAGTATGCAAAGCTTGTGAAGGACTGGCCGAATCCGAAATAGAAGAGCGGGTCACGCTTCACCTTTTCATAATAGCGATATCCGATAAAAACACCCTCACCATAGATAATGTGGCGGTCTGACTTGCCCCAGCTAAGGAAAGCTGGAGTGTCCTCGAGCTGTTTTGGGAACGTCATAGACAGCCGCCCCGATGGGTTGACATCACCAAAGAGAACGTCAATAACACCATGACCTGTTTCTTGACCAAGATACCAAGCATGCAAAAGAGTACTGGCAGACTTGATCCATGGCATCTGTATCGGCAACCCACTTTGGGTAATAACGATCTGTCCAAGTCTAGTCAGCATACATTTGTCCTATTGGGCTCAGTAGGTCCTATAGACGCGCAAAGACACGTCTAGGACCTGCCGAGAGCGATATAGTCGTGATAGATGCTCATGCATGCAAGGTAAAATGACTCACGGTGTTTGGGTTGACCTCGGTAACTCGTTGGACCAACTCGTTCTGCCGACCTGGTAGCAGAAGATCCTTGCGATCGGCGGCCTCGGACTCGTAGTCGGCGTTCAAGCCCACAATTACTATCGGTACATCCACAATCTTTGCTAGGTCCACTGCGGCGTCGATGGCCACGTCTTGATCACGAAGTTCTTGGCCACCGATTCGGAAACCGCCTTGTGCGGGAGGTCCGACTACCGGTTCCAAGAGCTCGTTGGTCATGATGACCTCAAGTGCATATTCCCGACCTTGCTCTATGTCGAGGTCGTAAACCATTTCCATGCATAGCTTGTTGAAGCAAGGAGTATCGCCTGTTTTGAGTGGTTGAGTACTCCAGAGGTCAATTCGCTCTATTCCGTTGATAAATAGTCGTGCCTTGCCACAGACACTAAGTGCAAATCGATATTTACACGATTTGGGAGCAGTAAAGGTTGTTGTGCATCGAATGAAGTGACGTGCCGGCACTTTGTCCCAGGCGATCTGACTGAAATACATCGAGGTACTGGTTGTTGTGGTCGATTGGAGAAGTTCTGTATCTTTGACTTCGGAAGGATCCTCGGAGAACCACTCAAGCATTAGGCCCGGCTCATTCGAGTTGGGTATGGTCAAGCCCGACCGGATTAAAGGTATCCATTTTCGAGCTAGAAAGTAGTTAATAAATGTGGCGTTCTAAAGGGAACAGAAGAAGTGGGGAGGGGGTGGGTTCCTCATCAGAGAGCTGGGAGCGGAAATTCACTATAGACACCAGGCTCATATGTGACATTCTCATTGCCAACAGCTTCAATGAAAGCATCAAGAGGGGTGTTGACATAGAATGGAACAGTCTCGGAGCTACCGCCACCTCCCGTGGCAGGATTCTCAAAGTACTCCCCAATCAGACCATACTTCAACTTCTTGGTCTTGTCTAGGGGTAACACATTTTTTTCGTTTTTGAGCAAGACAATTGCGTCTGCAGCAACCTTCCGGATAAGCGCACGACTTTCATTTGTATCACCATTGCCTTCGGGGCTGGGTGGTCCTGGGTCGCGTGTCTTGTTGATAAGATGCAATAGCCTACGCACCGAGGCATTGATAGTATCTTCATGGACCTTGCGGACCGCGACCGCCTGGGTCAGTTGCTTTCCCCTCCAGATCGATGGACCAGGCATCTCTAGGTCCAATCCCGCGTTGGTGGCCTCCGAGGTGCTATATGTCCCCCACCAGTCACTCATCACCAATCCTTCGAATCCCCATTCCTTTCGTAGGACCTGGTCAAGCATGAAGGGGTCCTCGCTAACGTGCGTACCATTAATACTTTGGTAAGCGGACATGAGGGCCCAAGGCTTGGACTTGGCCATGGCAACTTGAAACGGGTATAGATGCACCTCACGTAGGGTCCGCTCCGTCATAATCAGATCATCTTCAGCGGCTCGAAAACTCTGATCATGTGCAGCATAGTGCTTGATGCATGAGGCCACTTTCCGCTCTTGGAGCCCATTCACGTAAGGGGCGGCGAGTGAGCCACTGAGCTCGGGGTCCTCACCAAAAGCTTCGAAGCCGCGTCCTAACAGTGGAGAGCGCTGAAGGCACACGGTGGGAGCTAAGGCGACATGGACGCCCTTTCGCCGCCCTTCATCCCCAAGAAGGTTCCCTATACAATGCAGCAAATCCACATCAAAGGTGGCACCCATTGCAACCGCGGCGGGTAGTTGATAGCCGAGTGGCTGATTGATTGTTAGCGAGGTTCTGCTTGTGTCGCTTTGCAGGATTAGCTCTGGAATAGAAGAACTCACAGGATTGAAAAAAGCGCCGCCACCACCGCGCAGTCCATGTGGACCATCCGAGGTCTGTAAGTAGTATCGGTCAGAATAATTTGGACGCCATACAATAGAAATGTCTGCTTCTATAATTTCAGATATGTCGTCGTGCATGAGAGGAACAACTCACATGAATGGTAGGTATGCCTAACCGATCTAACGAGCTAGTCTTGCACGCGCCAGCTCCAGATAGAAGGCTGACCTTTTCAGCCAAGGTCATTTGCGAGATCAACGTCTCAATTTTGTCAACGGCCATCTTTTCAACGTCAATTCTGCTCATTCTGGGTAATGATTCGGTGTGGAATATTGAATAGACTTCGTCTCGAGTTTATAAACCCGACAGATGGAATACCACTTTCAAGTTTTAATAGAAGATGGTTCGTCGGTTAATGATAAAGGTTACATCCTCTCGATAGAGAAAGCCTGGTGGAAACAATCTTGGCTCACATACTATGGGTATGCTTGAGGGATTAGGTTATTTCTCTCTCCATCTTTCTGGCTAAGACCCCCCATTCTCATCGCGGCAATGAACCCACATATATTCCGCGGACTGCATTTACTCGGGCCTAATGGCTCAAAGCCGACTCGCGCGAGTCGATACGGTTTACGAAGGGCCCCACATTTCCTCCACGGAATACTGGGACAGGAATCGTCCATTGAGCTTCCTAGACAGTGGAACTCCGTTTACCCCCGCTACGCTTAATACCAAATCACGGGGGAGGAAAAGAAGAAAACATACGGATTCATACTCTGTCCGGCAGATTAAACGACTTTCGAACTTCTCTTCTGGTTGGCACTAAGAAAGAGCACAGACCGGGATACATCGTATACAAAAGGTTTGAAAAAAGAGGATAATTACATCAGTGCAAAACTGGATCCTACTACTTAGTCATTTCAGGGACTTTTCAAAACAGTCTGACGAAGTAGGATAGACATTATAGAGGAACACTACGGGACTTATAGTTCTAAAAGCTATACAAAATGCTCCCTGCTAGTGATAGCCTACCATTTCCTAGCCATAGGATTTATAACATAGGTAGAGAAACAAACCTCCGATCCGTTGACTTCCAAGACGATTTCTTGGCCAGGAAGGTAGATATGCACAGGCACCGGCCTAGCAGCGTGCCTCATCTCAACCTTAATGCAGACCCGTACATCTGTCGTGGTGGCTCCCCGTACCCACGAGACGTGGACCATGCCGCTTGTCTTCCCGTCTACCATGCGAAGCGGCACGCGTGCGTCCATCTCGGGGTAGAGATTAAGCCGCGGCCGTACCTGGATGGCTTTCCACCCAGCCGCCGCCGGCCGCACCCCAGCGACCTCGGCCGTGAACTCGTACAACGGCGCGCTGCCCCAGGCGTGGCAGTCTGATCGTTGAGAATTGCCATCTTCAACCCAGGTTGTGAGGCCCATGGCAAGCTGGCTGCGCCACGGCTCCCAGAACGCGTGGAAGTGGTCTTCGTACAGGCTGCCCCCGGCCAGGCTCAATGCTCGCAGCGTGTAGAAGGACATAGCGACCGATTCTTGAACGAAATGCCCCGCTTTAGTCTGTTGAATACTCTTACGCAGCAGCTCCTGCGCCTCAGCGCCGTGGACTATGCCGCCGAGCACGGCCCAGACCTGGCTGTGCTGGCTGCGCGGGGTCAACGCATCGTCGGCCTGGGCTGAGACCAGGCTATCGGTGAAGAATTCGCCGTCAAAGCAATGCTTACGCACAGCCACGGTAATATGCCGGGCCCTTTCGCGGTATTCGTCGGCCACCGCAGGCCGCTGGAGCGCGTCAGCGAGGGTAGCAGCCATACTCAAGGCGTAGGCGTAGATCTCGTTGGTGAAGGTGGAGAAACCCGTACGCTCACAGACCGGCGGGTAACTGTACGGCTTCCATTCGGTTGTCCAGTCGACGTAGTTCCAGATGCCCGGTCGAATATCCCATTTCACTAGCCCGAAGTGTGTATCGATCCGTGCCGCAAAGGACGCCAGGATGGCGTCGACAACGGCCAGGAAGCGGGAAAGAAAGACATGGTCATCAAAATATTCCAGGTGATCACTAAGCAAGCCGATCCAGTACAAGGAGAAGTGCGGGATGAATTGCTGGCGGTGCGAGGGGGCCCGGCTTGCTGTTAGGCCGAGCCGGGGCTGGAACGAGTTATACAACTGGATGATCGCCTGGCGCGCCAGCCGGTCGTCGCCTGACACACAGTAGGTGAACAGAGCCGAGCTACGAGTGTCCATGGCGTACTGCAGCTGCTCGTAGAACGGGCAGTCCTCGTAGCAGTCGTGCATGCAGTTCACCAGCGTCCGGAGGCTGGTCGTCCATAGAGAGTCGACCGTGGTGTCCCCAGGGCCCGCCATGATCTGTGCCTGCAAATCCAGCGGATAGTGGCAGGAGTCAACGTCTATCCCCTGGAAGACCAGCTCCGCACCCTCAACGGCGATGTCGATTTTGATGAACCGAAAGGTGCGATAGTGGAACGGAGCGAACACCTCTGTCTCTTCCTCATCCACAAAGTAACCGGGGCCGGGGCCGTTGGCCGGCCCCTGCAACTGGTAACTGTCATGCGGGCCGAACAGCTGCTTCGTCATGTCACGGCGGTGTGCCTTGCGCCGCACTCCGACGTAGAGGTCCGGCTCGTCCTCGTAACTCTCAGAGTAGGTGAGCTGGATGGCGCTGCCGCCGCTGGTAGGGCGCAGGAACCAGACACGCAGGAACGCCGTTGTGTGCGCGGCGACCTCAAGCTCAAACTGATGCCGGGAGCCTGGCGCCAGACACACGCCTGCGCGACGAGCCTGTTCGGAGGGTCTAGCCAGGAGCACGGCGCGCCATGTCTCGAGCGGCACATCGCTGTGTACATTGTAGATCTCGGTGAACCACGCGGGTTGAATCTGGTGAGGCGGAATCAGGCGCGGGGACAGGTGCCAGGGCGGGGTGTTTCCCGTCGAGTTTTTGAATTCCAGGACCTTGGCGGGTTTCCAGGTGAGCGGGCTGTTGGCATGTTGCCGCCGGTGAGACTCGTAGGTATGGAGGAAGAAGTCCTCAGGCTCGTCGACGCGCAGGCTGGCGCAGGGATCGACAGCCGACTCCCATTGCTCGCTTGTGCGGAGGAGCTCAGAATACTTGCCTTCGTCCGTGGGCACGAGGATGCGCAGACCACCAGTAGGCAAACGGGGGAAAGAAGGTGCAAACTGGGTTGCGTAGAAGAACCGGAGGACGTGAACTGCGACATGATTCTCCCCGGTCCGCAGGAACGGACCGATATCCACCTCGTCATAAAACCACATGCTCTGATCCCCTTTGACGGGGCCAAAGGATACTAGCTGTTGGTTGACATATAGCTTATATCGTGTATCAGCTGAGATGTGAATCTTCAACGACTTGGGTGGCTCGATGCTGAGTGTGAACTGTCTCCGGAAATGTAGCAAGCCTGCCGTGTCCGGTTGGCTTTCAGGGAAAGCTGGATGCCATATCCAGGTTCGGTCAAAAGTGGAAGACATGGTGGCAGGAGGAGCTGAGCAAGCACACTCACACACAGATAGTCAAAGGAGGAGAGATTTGCTGTACGACACTATATTGAAGTTGCCCTGGCGATCTGGGTCTTGGATAGCACCAAGGCGAGAAAGAACCGGAACGTTGGTGATTCCCAGGGGTCCCCCTCCATGACATTGGAGAAAAGAAAAGAAAAGAAAAGAAAAAGAGAGACAGAAGGATCAGCATACTGTAGTGCAGAATGAGGGGGCACTTGGAGAAACAACCATGACCTCGCTGAAAACCACCCCGAAGCAGTGAGGGGAACGCGTATTCGTTTCGATCCTGCCTGTGGAGTCCCGAGTATGGAGATCAACTCAATAAAGTTAGTTTAGAAATGGTGGCTTCTATTGTAAACGAGTGGGGTGCCATATCCCGCGGAACGCGTGCTACAGGGCATTCTCATTGGCGATAGTCAAGATGAGCTCTTCACAGAGAATCTGGGTCGTTTGACATGTCGCTCTGGTCTCGCTCGCTATCTATACCGGCTACATCTGCGAGGGTTTTGAGGTGAGTCCGCCAGGACCCATGATCGGTTTTCGACATCAGACGCGAATATATCGTTTGAATAAAACCCAAAGCAGGAAACACTGTTGTTGCCAAGGCCAGCTTTATCAAGTAGTTTGGGAACAAGAATGCCTCAGGAATTGCCGCACTGGATGCTACTTGGGGTAAGCCAGGCACCCGTGGATGTGACATATGACAGGAGATCCTTCCCATGCTCACCACGATGATCAGTGTCCACCTGGAGCTCTCTTCTCGTACTTCGATCTGAACTATTGTTTAGCTCAATAAGAAATCTTCAAAGAGGGTATAACCGTTGAAGAGGGCCTACAGCTAGTTAGGCGGCTGAACCCGCCAGTAGAAGATGATAGGATGGAATCGCATGAGCAGGGCGAATCGCCTAATCAGGCTAATCCACGACCTACTCGGGTCCCGCCTAGGTGTAGTGCGTGTAGGGAGATTTGCCACAGGAATGATGTATGTAAAAATCGCTATATTTAGTTGAATTGATGGATGTTGGTTGAAACAATCGATTTTGAACGTTTCTAATGGGGTTGGGTGATCGGGTCGGCCAGGGTTTACGTTAAAGTAAATAATTCTCGGCCGCCTCGCACACCCTAAAACACATAGTAAATGCGATAAATCACCACTTCAGATCTCAATAACTATGTCTGTTTATGATAAAATATCGAAAGGATATATCTTAAATAGTATTTCTGACCTATCCAGAAAGTATAGTAAAATTGGTACAAGTATTAATAGAGATATATATATATATATGTTCCCTAAATCAAAATTACGTTATATATTATGGTGAAGCACCAATATCATGGTCTAGATTACTTGTGACCAAGGGATATTATTTCACATGCTAAAAAATGCCTATGTTCTAATACCCAAGTAAAAATAACTTGTAGTTGTTGAGATATCAAGTAGTAATTTATCGCATATACTATATGTTTTGGGGTGCGCGGCACGACTGGGTGCGCGAGCCCTAGAGCCCTGGAGACGGCCGTGAATTACTTATCGTGTAAAAGGACAATACACAACACCTATAGAGAAGGAAGTATCAGTGTGAAACCAAAGATAATCCGACTCCATGCAGGCACTATTTCACTCCAGAAGAGGCTGAGTATTCCCAAAGAAAAGCACAATAGCCAAAGAGCTATGTCTACTATGCCGAAATTACGGTCAGATTTCTTAGCAATGAAAAAAGAAAATAAATTCGAGCCATGCTGAGGTTCAGAAAAGGCATTAAGCATGACTCAGCGACAGATGATGGAATCATTCTTACACTCCGTTACTAGAGAGTAATCGGATTGTTTATCTGCAGGATTATGATGTGTATACAGTGCAGGTGATTACCTCCCGCCAGATCGTTGTAGTGCAAGAAATTGTGGGAAAACTTGAAGATATCATCCTCATATAAAGTGTTGGGTTCAACAAGATGGCCAACTAGGTACCGAGAGGATCTGGTGAGAGAATCGCATTGCTGAAGACTTGGGCGGAAATGGGTTTGATGTTAGGAATCCTGTCGGTAGGTGGGATGTCCGCCCGGAATTTCGGCTTCCCCAAGCTCATCCGAGGCTTTGGAGTCTAAAATTGCGAGCATGTGTAGCAACTTGGAGAATTGCGACTGTGCGCGTTGTCGGATGGTGTCATTTTCAGCGTTCTGGGAGAGTTCGAGCAGGATGGAGCCGACACGGCGGATTCGTTCGACCTTGGGAAATTCATCATTTAGCCCAGATTGTTTATAGCTTTTTCTTTAAAGTGGCTCTTCATGTGCTGCGCTGGATTAAAAAGAATTGAAATCGGAACGTACCGCTGCCTCTCCTTGAGCTTTAAAGCACATGTACGGCACAATCTGCAGCTCGTGGAGAAAGTCCTGAATAATTTCTACTTTCTTGATTTCACCGGCAAGAGAGCTATTATTTAGCCCCAAAATTTCAGGTACATTATGTTGAAGGCATGATTGTAAGATGACAAGCTTCACGCAGTAGTAAGTCGTCATGATGTTGCTTCTCAGTGTCCAGAAGGACGTTTTCTGATATAATGCTACTTCTTTGTCGGAGCCACCAATGTCATCAGGATATCGGAGCGAAGCCGGCAGGTCATCCAATACTGCACTAAAGCGAATATATGATTCCGTGAGGTGTAGTTCAAGTTCCGCCCGCTCTTGATCTCCTTGTTGAGTATCAAAAACGTTTTTCTTCCGACTACTATACGTAGGGATGTTGGCGAGGACGGCTGCTGCTGAGGACCAGACACGTTGCTTAAGGTGGAAACCGGTTGAGATCTGGCTTTCAAATGTACCTTGATTGATCTTCTTGTTCATGTCAAGAAGCGGGACATCTTTGTCGTCTCTTTCGAGTAGCGATAGGCCGCCACTGAACATGGGCTCCCGCAGTAATGAGATACGAGTATCAAGGGCAATAGCGCTCTGGTCTGCGAGATAGAGTAGCCAGAAGTTGGCGCGCAACAACTTTGACTCAATTGGTGGGCTCATGCAGACAACAGCTTCATCATATAGGCGCAGCCGCAGGGCCAACATCGTGGCCTCGCCGTGGATGTGCCAGGCGATGCTGGCCTTTCCGGTGGTATTCTGCACCGCCGCAGCATGCCAGAATCGGATCATGAGGGAACTCGAGTCTGGGTGATCAACATCGTCCACCAGATAAAGCCTTAACATGCGCCGGGATGTTTCGAGGAAAGTGGTGGCAATAGTATCCTGGTGTGGAACAAAGGATGCCGGCAGAGCCGCCACAACATGTGCAGAAAGAGCGGTGATCGCCGTGAATGCACGGTAGCAACTAAGCTGATCCAGCCTCTTGGGGGAGGCGGCTGGCTGGTTAGGAAACAGAGTGTGATTTTCTGGAAGGAGCAGGGAGATATTAGCGCGCATTGTTGGCTCGTGGATGATAGGCGTGTTAGGGAACATGTACTGCATAAACAAGTCTAGGCATTCTTGTCCTATATCCACGGCAGAACGCTGGGGCAATAGGTCCTGGAGACATGCAGTCAAACGTTTGTGGATCTCTACCCCATCATAGTCCTCATCAAGTGAGGAGTAGTGGCAACCACCGCCCCCGGAGGGCGGCGTATCGACAGTTAGTGAGGGGTGTGGCTGGGGCAGGTTGAAAGCCGCCATCGGCGTGGCCTCCTCAACTGGGGACATCGTCGCAAGCCCAGGCTCACATGGCTCTGGAGCTGGACAAGCTGCATTGGCTGACGTGCAGCTCTCGCTGGGGGAAGCTGCATCTGAATTACAGGTCACTGGCCGCTTGGCGACCTTGGGTCCGCGCTGCCGGCGCAGACCTTGGAATTCACAGATAAGATTCGAGATGCGGCAATTCGCACAGGGCTGCTTTGAGTTGCACTTCACCTTGCGCCGCCTACATGAGTCACAGGCGCGGGAGGCATACATTGTAAGGGCATGTAACGGAAGGAGCAGCTGGTGGGGGGGTTTCAGGGTTGTCGCTGGTCCGCAGTTGTACGGATGGTCACCACGGAATAAATATGGAGTCCGTGGATGGTTCACTGACGCTCGTACTCGCATTTTAGTGGGGCGGGTGGGCCTATGGCAGACGATAGTGGGACTTCCCTCTTGGAGTCGAAGTTTGTGCCGACAGGGCCGGAACCAGCCGTCTCAGCACATGTAAGATTTGTATCTCATTACAAGTCAGGTAACTAACTGGACCATATCCGCACTTACAGTAGCCAGCAGGCTCCACGTAAACACACTGCAGGTTTCAGACACGGGAGTAGTGAGCTCTCTTCTACCCGATTATGTTATTGAGCCTCTAATTCTCCGATATACGCTATTCTGGCTGTCTATCGCATGCAAAGGTTTACTCATCCATTCCTCTATAAACTATAGCATCTGTAGCGACATGGTGAACTCGAAGGGTTCTGTTGTCAAACAATACGGCTCAAAGGGCGGTGGTCCACAGCTGCCCGAGCCTAAGCCATGTTGCACGTAGTCCAAATTCAGAATATTTTCCGTAGCTTCCATCAGCTCGTGGGGGTGTACGGCGTGGTCAAGATCTTCGGTTGTATGGTTCCGCAAGGAGAAGTTGAAGGGGCTCGACATGCGCGTTTCGAGGCAGGTTCCCGAGGTCGTTTCTGTGGACTGGAAACGGGCCCAGATCACATCTGTACGGTTGCCATTCTCCTGAGGCCATTCGTAAGCCGTCTGCAGCTGCTCGAGGTCTGCCGTCCAGGTGCCGAATCTTGCCGCCTCCTTTTTGTCACGATAAGACTCTCCTGGCCCACGACCAAACCAGCTGGCTCGGCGATAGTCCTTGGGCAGCGTCATGGTGAGGCCAATTCGGGGTATAAACTTGGGGTGTGTGCCGGAAAAGCTCCCACGCGTATGAATTACGAGGGAGTTTGCGGTTATCTTATAGCTCAGAGAGGCATCGCAGGCCCACTCGAGAATCGGAGGGGCCACCCTTACGGAGAGATTGACGTGGACAATTCCCTTTTCCTGGAGATCGTTTCTCCATGATGCCTTTTTGACATACATCTTGGTATCCTTAACAAAAAGCTTTTTCCACTCGGTCCCATTCCCACGAGACCCCAGGTCATTCTGGGTCAGCGCGCGATAGAGCCCAAGCACCGGTCCCTGGCTGACTACCAATTTCTCTTCTCGGGACCATTGGACAGCCCCGCGGATCAAGTCCACAAGCAGAGAGCATTTTGTAGATGGAAAATCAATATGGAGTCGCCCTAGGTGCTCTCGGGTGGTGGCTTCGCCACATGGCGCCACAACGGCCGTCTGGAGGGGCTGCACCTGCTCATTGTCGTGCAGCGGCAGTTGACTCCAGGCTATTTCAAAGCTTTTGGGTGCCCATGGCATGTCCTCTTTAAGGCGGAAACTGATCTCCAACCAGGTTGGCTCTGTGTACTGGCTGAGATGCACTGGAGCATCAATTATCACAGATTGCCCGGCTCGGATGACTGGCAGCGGGAGAACTGTCGGCGCCTTGGTTACGGAGTCCTGCACGAGACGGTATGTCGCAATGAGATGGCTCAGATCCCGAAAGTCATAGTGATTGGTAATTTGTATTTGCTGCTCGCCTCGGAAGGTCACAGAGACTGGTTCAATGGCCTTCTTGTACTCTGTCAGACCGGGGGCCTCAGTATGATCGGACCACGTCAGGCCATCCAGGACAAAGGCCCCATCATTGGGATAGTCCCCAAAGTCTCCCCCATATGCGTAGTACTCTTTATCGTCTTCTTTCTTGAGGAGCCCTTGGTTGCACCATTCCCATATGAAGCCCCCCTGCAGCTGTTTCTCTGCCCGATATGCATCAATGTAATCGGTGAGACCACCAGGGCCATTACCCATGGCATGGCCAAACTCACACTGGATCAACGGTTTATCGGTCCGCTCGGATGCAAGGTTCTTCAAATCATCCACCGGCATGTACATGACGCTATACATATCTGCAGTCACCGCTTGCCGGTCGCCCTTATAATGCACAGGCCGCGTGGGATCAGCGCGCTTGACCCATTTCGACATGTCGGCAAGATTGCAACCGTATGATGCTTCATTTCCCAACGACCATATAACAATAGATGGGAAATTCTTAAGCCGTTCAACGAGATGCACCGCACGATCGAGGTGCGCCTCGCGCCATTCTGGATTGTCTGCCGCCCATTTGGCGGAGAGTTCGAAAGCCCGAAGCATGAGCTGGGTACGGGTCATGGCGAAAGCCTCAGCTGCTGGAATGTTGTTTTTCTCAATCGACAAGAACCCGTGCGTCTCCAGATCAGCCTCGGCCATAACATAAAGGCCCAGTTCATCGCAGACTTCGTAGAAGCGCACATCATTTGGCTGATGTGAGCAGCGCACGGCATTGATGTTGCTCTTTTTCATCAGGAGGAGATCCGCCCGCATGGCTTCGTAGGGAACGGCCCGACCCAATTGTGGGTGATGCTCGTGCCGGTTGACCCCGTAGAAGATCACTGGTTTCCCATTGATCAGTATGTTGCCATCTCGCAGTTCTACACGACGGAATCCCATGCGCTGCGAGATGACGCGACCGTTGTACGAGAGACTGAGCGTGTACAGTGTTGGATCCTCTGCTGACCAGAGCCGGAGAGCTGGCTGCGATACCTGGATTCTGCTCATCTGGGACGGTTCGATGGTATCTTCGGAGATAACGGATCCATCTGGGCTCCTGAGTTTTATGACCACAGTCCCTGCCGCTTGGCCTTGTATCTTGACGCTGGTGCGTAGGGTAGCATTCGTAAACGAGTCGTTCAGCTCGGCAACTGTCTGGAAATCGACAATGCTGTCCCACGGCAAGGCGAGGAGATAGACGTCGCGGAAGATGCCTGAGAGATGCCATTGGTCCTGGCGCTCAAGGTATGATCCATCGCAGAACTCGTACACTCGGACTGCTAAACTATTGTGCTGTGAAGTCTTCAAATAGGGGGTGATATCGAACTCGGTCGCGTTGCGACTTCCCTGGCTGTATCCAACCGGCCGCTCATTGACCCAGACGTGAAACGCACTGTCGACGCCTTCAAACCGCAGCCGTACCTGGAGACCAATCTTCATCCACTCCATTGGGATCTCGAATTGTCTCCAGTAGGACCCGGTCCCGTTGAGGTGTGGCACGTTCGGCGGGTCCACTGGGAAAGGGTAATTGACATTGGAATACAGCGGCCGGCCATATCCCTGGAGTTGCCACATGCCTGGGACTGTGATATCGGCCCAGTAGGTGAGAGGAGCTTCATCCTCCCAATCGGGCGCCTCAAAAGGCGACGCATCGTGCCGGAATTTCCAGGTCCCATTCAACGACCGCCACTCACTCCGTTGGCGATCAAAGGTCAAGGCTGCTTCTTCGCTAGTGTAAGAGAAAAAAATGGGCTCGCGCGGGTAACGCATTCCGATGAATCACCTCGCGGTTATTCCAGTCAGGTTGGCTCTTCGGAAACGACATGGCTATGGTGTCTTCAAAGATGCGAATAGAAAAACTTTGGTGGTCTCGTCTCTTGAAGATGGAAAGGACAATGAGTTGTAAGCTTCTGGCCTCGAACAATTTAGGATTGTCGCATGCTATGACGATGAAAGCCGTCAAATGTCCCCAAAAAGAGAAGAACGGAGAGAAAGATGTCTCAAACGATCACTGGGTTAATATGTGTTGTGCAAATATGCAGTAAAGGTAAACTGTCAAAATGCGAAGCCACACTACTATATATGCGCATCAGGAATTATCATATGAGCACAAGAAGCCCAGAAGTCCGGTGAAACTCTGACATTTAAGGCTAGACAGAAGAAAACTCCACAGTTTTCCGCCCGCAAACCCGACGGCGAGAGAGCACGATATGCAGGACCATGTGAGAGGCCAGTAACTACACGACCCCCCCTTCCGCAGCTGGGGAGGGCAACATCTCGTCTTGTTCTAGCCGCTTGGCCCAGAGGTACTCATCAGATCTCTAGAATCAATACTTGGTTTTTGTCAGGTAACCTACATATGCGTTTTGATATTGAGCCGATTGGCTGAGCTGGTTCTCATCCCCCTCAGTCCTCTCACGTCTAAATTTTATTACTTACTTGACTTGATAACTGGAATATGGACGTATGGAGGTGAGGTTACTCCCTCATTTTGGCAGATGAATAAGCCGTGTGGGTACCTGGACACCAATAGAAATCACAATAGGTCTGAATTGCTAACAAGCAGGCATAAACATGACTAACCTAGGGGGTTGTTTAGTATCTCCGTTCTCCGAGTATCCACCAATCCTGTGCTGCGACACCTGATATCGGATCGGAACAGCTGATCGCCTGTACGTGGGGGTGACATGCCGAGCCCCACAATTATTCCAGGTCAACCAACTCGCGGGGTTGCGGAACTGCATGTTCGGGGGAGCGACGAAACCATGCTCCACCGCGTTTGATGTTTGATGTGAGATTCCAATGACCCTCGATCATGCGGCCCTTATCAGCTTGTCTAGCTTGCCGGTGAGTCTGTCTCTTGCAGGAAAGCACGTTCTCGAAGACTACAGCTGAACAAGATATTGGCAGTGAGCGCCGGAAGCGATGTGAACGCGTCTATCCAGGAACAAGCTGCACCTTCTGTAGCGCAAGAAGGCTAGAATGTTTAATGACCCCCAAAACCGATGTCGACTCCGACAGTGGCTATGGGCTTTACAAGCACTACCGGACGGGGACCGATCTAAACTCGGCGTCTGCGGTGGCCTTGAGTCCCGACTTGGCTGAAGAACTTGCTGAGCTCTATTTTCAGAATAATCAGGCCGGCTTCCCATATTTATTCCATCAGGCGACTTTTATGGAAGATGTTCGAATGGGAACCATTCCTCTCATTCTCCTGTATGGGGTGATCGGCCTCTCCGCCCGGTTTTCGCAGCATGCTATTCTTAGAGAAATCAACCCTTGGGATCGGGGAGGACCCTATGCAAAAGAGGCTGAGCGCTTACTCGATCTTCACAATTTATCCCTGACGACTATCCAAGCCTGCATGTTGCTGGCCCTGAATTTTGCCATCGAAGGGGAATCTGAAACGGAGTGTATTTACTTTGCCATTGCTTCACGGATGGGAATGATCTTAGACCTCCCAAACGCGGCGGGGAAGACTCCTTACGAATTGGAACTCAACCGGAGAGGTATGTAAAGGCTGCGGATAATGAAGACTCAATGAGATAACTGATCTATTGGGCAGTCTGGTGGTCTATCGTGACTACCGACACGTGGAGCTCAGCTAACCTCTGTCTTCCACGAGCTATTAAGCTGCAAGACGACATCCTATTACCTGTGGACGAAGTGACATTCGCTCGGATGAGCCCTAAAACACCGTTTCCCATCGACCCTTACGATGGCCGACAGTCGAGCCCAACACCGGAACCTTCGTTGTCGGCGCTGGCTCACCTGGCTCAACTAAATAAGCTCCTCTACGAGATTTACCGACTAAATGCCACCATCATTGATGAGAACTTGGGCATAGCTGCGGCGGAGGGTACCATAGAATCCCTGTCAAACGCTCTTGCCGAGTGGTTGTCGGGATTACCCCCCAAATGCAATATACGAAGGCCAATATGTCCAATTGGGTAGAAAAGGGCTTCGGGCATATCTTCTCCACAATTCACATCAACTACAACCATGCTGCCCAGCTCCTCTTCTATCAATTTCTGTATGCGAGTCAAGTTGCTAGTGAGGGTTGCTCGCTCGGTCCCGCAGAGGCCTACGCCAGGAGGTGCAAGCAGCATGCTGCCGCTCTGTGCGATCAGGTCTACAACGCGAGGGAGGAATACGGGGTCGATATACGATATAGTATCATTAGTCACATACTAGTCATGGCATCGACGGTCCAGATCCACAGCCTGCTGTTTAGCCTGGATGACGACGAAATTGCACTTGCCAAGGTTCGTCTGGAGCGGAACTTCGAGACAATCACACGCCTGCACACGTACTGGCCGAACGTGTCAGCGTCATTTAGCCGACTTCGAGCCTTCCATCGGGCCTGTTTAAAAAGCATGCACACGTCCTTCCGTCTGGACCGATGGATGCTAAGGTTTATGCTGGAGTTTTCTCGGTCGATAGAGGACAAAGACGAGGAAACGGTGGCCTGTTCGGAAGATTCCAAGCCGTTCGACCAGCTAAGATATCTCCTTGAGCGATAATGTAATGAGGAATGTTCCCCCGCCGGAGCCACCGTTCTCTGTCCGTGTCTCCCCATGACCCCCCTCCTAGTGCTTGATAAGACGCGTGGCCGTTTTTCGATTGCCGTCGCGAATAGCTCAAACCCCCTGTAATTTTCGATATAAGTCCCGATTTGCAGTTTGTGCTTAGCTCGTGAGTGCCCAACCTATCGAACGGGCTGCGAGCTATCGCATTTTACGGCGCTGGGAATCCGCACCTATTCTACGAACAAGGCTAGGTAACAGGAAATTAGACCGAGACATGCGGCCAAAACAAGGAACCAGTAAGGCATCAAAGTTCCACGGATAAAATTTCGACATCGCTCGACATTACCAGATCAGGTAGGAAGTGGTCAATAGTAAGCCACGCTCTCGTCAGATGAAATGATTCTGGGAATGTGGGGTTGATCGGTTTCCCCACGGGGTAGCAATTCCGCAGCGTTTTCCGACGTCAAGATTCAATCAACTCAGGCACTAACTATCAAAATGGGCTGGTGCCAAGCTCGTTAAGAGGAACATACATTTGTTAAACCGCAGTCAGGGGTATTTGAAGTTCCCCATTATATACTACCGAGGGACAAAGGCCTACGGTCAAATGTGAATATCGAAGTCATAAATACAAATACCACGGCAATCTGCGACACAACGTAGCAGAATCCAGAACCCTATATTACACTTCAGTCAGCTTGAGTTTTCTTTGTACCTGATTATCATTCCCTTGAACATGCGCCAATCCGCTCTCCGAGGCTTTCTATTGCTGTGTTTAGGCGGGAGAGCTTCCGCCAGTTGTAAGCTCTCTGGAGGAGCTTCATACCCTACACCTCCTAATCCCGAGCCGATTTCGATCGTGGAACTGCCCTTACCACCTTCCATAACCAATGATTCGATAGGAGCTTGCACCTATGAGGTCAATGCTCGAGGGACAGGATGTATATGGATAGTCATGACTGGCGATGATGCTGTTCCCCAAGGGGGGACCTTCACCCCTGATGGAACTGCCATGGTCGCCACGGTCAATTTCACCGGCGCGCCAGCGGAACCTGATCCAAGACATATCTACAGCGGTCTTCAAACAATCCTCCTCAAGACGGATAACTCGACCTTCCCCAACGGTGACTCCTGGAAGTGCATTACCTGCGGGGTGCCGGAAGAAAACCAATTGGGTGCGGACCGCGATTTGCAGGATTATCCCCGAGTTTTCAAGGATGGGAAGCGATTTCTCGTGGGCACGAACATTATCCATACCGGCGGTTATGCCGTTGATAGTGATATGGTCACCCCGAACAACACTTATATCTACCCGATTTACTGGCCCGTCACTGCGGACGGGTCGGGAACAACGGGATCGATGCGCGAGCTCCGCCTGCATCCCGACGACACGCACTTGACTTGGAGCAGCTTCTTTGGCAGTGATCAAAATAGCTTCTACGGTCGGCTCACTTTCAACCCCTCGCCGACAAATGGCGAGCCTCTTGTGGCGCGATACGACCTGTCCAGTGTCAACCTGATCCGCATGGCCAACGATACACGGGTCCTCAATGTGGACAATGGCAAAGTGAGCTTCGACTTTTCAGCAATTGACGTGGGTGAACTGCGCGGTATCAGTGGCAGTGGGGACGAGCTGGTCTACATCGGATATCCCTGGGAGTCATGCAACTTCGATGGGTTCGCGGTCAATCTGTACACCGGGGCAATCCGCCGATTGACTGCGCATCCGGAGTACGTCGACCCGATGGATATCTCACCCGACGACCAGTGGACAGTTGCGCTGGACACACGGAAGTCCAACCGCGACATGTTCATGGCGGGCATGCGGGGTATCCCGCCGCTGGTCGACCTGGTGACAAGCGCCGTCTGCGCCTCGGTGCGTAATAATGGGTATCGCCGTTTCTTCCAGCCGATCCTGATTGATAAATACGGTGACCGTGGGGACTACTTTGGCCAGCAGATTAACGCCGCCGGAGACGGTAGTAACGGCGCGATCAATGACCCGAACTGGAACGCTCGCGCCGACCCGCAGTGGTCCTTGGATGGCACCCGCGTGATGTACTACCAGACACTCGTTAAGTCTCCTACATGTGGCGGCGCCAACCCTCTCCCGTGTCCCGTCTCCAACGCGCCTGATGGCCGCACTACACGCTTTATGATCGCCACCTTCACCAGCCGTACTCCGTATCCCGTCCCCACGTATAAGATGGGACCTGATGTCATTCCATGGGCCGTCTTGTATACTCCCGGCATGATAATCCCATCTCGTTCCACCGATATGTCGGGAAATTACACCTACCATGGCAAATCCTGCGGCACGGCAAATGTGTCCATCTCCAACCTTGCGGGTAGCACCACCCCAACAGGGTGAGAGTTCAATACAACAATCTGTCAGATGACGGCGAGTCCATTCTCAATGGATATGAAGACGTTTCGTTGACCCACTTGACCACGTGGGTAGTCCACAATGACTGGTACTCTGATATCGTACAGACGGGAAAAGTCAATGGCACCAAAAAGACTGGTGAGGATGGTTTCCACATCACGATGGATGTCACGCAGAACTATTTCAATGCTACTGGTACCCTGACGACCATATTGAATGGTGAAGAATACATTCAGCCCCTCAATTATGCGTAGATTGTCTCTGTCCAGCCAGTGATCCTCCTGGCGGTATCAGGCTCTCTTCCTGAGCAGAAACCGGACGACCCTTTGAGACTCGAAGTCATTGATGGATAGGGAGGAACTTTCTACAATATACATTACACAATGATATTCGTCCCAATTATTAACGCAAACAACTGCGATTGAATTTGTAGACTTCCCCGTAATACTTGAGGAATCAGAATAGAATGATGCATCGCAAACATCTTCGCGTCTTAGCTAGTTGATAATTCGCTCCATGCATTCAATAATACTAATGATTAAATAATCTTTAGTCTGCCAGAATCATGCTTACTCAAGGATACTCCTTTATCCATGGTCAGTTGACTACGTCCAAGGCTCGTGCCTCACCAAAGGCTCGACGGGCCGGACTTTCCTTGATAGATGACGTTTTACTAAAAAGTAACCGAAAGGCGTTGTATGTGGTACAGTGAGAGCTTGTGGTAATTTTTGACGATATTTGTCCCCAACCTGTCCCATGGGTTGGATCCAACGGGGTCCATTTGGATTCAGGGTTATCCCCTCAACTACAGCCACACATAGTCTCCCCCAAGGCAACCGTTCAACCCATTTTCCGCCGCTAGTTCGGTTAATATTTACTTCTATTTAGGTATTCATTTCTCATATAACTAAAACTCAAATATAGCTATTGGGTGGAGGAACGATCTTAGCGTGGTTAAAAGCGTCTAGTCTTCTGATGGGGTACGAATACGCATAGATGCCAAGTTATTCATGGCTCTCATGGCCATGGGCCTGTATGAACCTGCTATCAATAGGTAGAACATTGGACCTATCATGTGGCGAGTACCTCAACCCTACTATCCACCAACCTCCCTGGAATGTGAAGACAATCCTTTTAGAGCCCCGCAGTAACCATTTAATTATCAACTGAGACCGGAGGAGAAAGAAAATTCCATTTAGCCTCGGAGGTTGAAAGACTAGCTCCAACAGGCAGGTTACCTGTGCATTACAGAACCCATGTGCTCGCTTCGTACGATCCGTGCTATACGCGTATAGAGGGGCTTGGCAGTGAGGAGTAAGCTTTATTTTTTTTTACCAGTGTTGATTTTCCCTCGCCACTGGTTCCGAAAATTAATCTGAGGAAGGTTTATCAGTCGAGACAGGCTGTAGCTTAACTCACACCGTAGCCTAATAATATCGTCAGGAGATATTGGAAACACCACACGCAGGAGGAAGTGGCACTTTGACAGGCGATGGTACGTAGCTGTCGACATATTGCCGTCTTCTATTTACTGATAATTGTTTGAAGGTGATATAGCAACAATGGGCACGGGTATTCTTTGATTTGGAGTGTCCCTGATATCGGGAAAAAGAGGCAGAGGCACTTTGTAGAGTTTTAAACCCAACTTCCCAGCCCTTAGCACTGAGAGTCTTTTACGCTGATTGTGATTGTCAATATTGTAAATAGCAGTATAAGGTTGGCACTCTATAATCATATGCGCAAGTAATATCTTCATCATTATGATTTACAATGAAGGCAGAACTGCTGGGGAAGACAATTCTGGGGGGGGAATTGTGGGCTTCTTATCCCGTAGATTGAGATTTGGGCCAATACCTACTGTATCGGACGAGCGCGTGGACTCTCACGACACATAGACGGTACCTTTTAATTTTTAATTCCCCTCCGATCATTTAGAGTGGAATTGTGACTTTAAGTGCCGATATGAGTTGTGCCTGGGGCGGAACCGGATCGCCAGCGACCCAGACTTCCTCCCCAGGAACTAGGGCGGGCGCTTCGAGAGCACCAGGGCGGGCGCTTCGAGAGCACCAGGGCTGATCGGGGGTTCTCCATTCTCCGGCAGCAACGGCTAATGACCATGGGACCGTTTTAAGGCCTTCTTCCTTGGGTCGGCATTTGAACAATACATGTTCTGGGTTGACCATCAGACGCCACTTTGTCCTGACTCGTGTCCCATAGTCTCCGGACTCCTCTGCCTCCGGCAGCTTCGCTCGCATTGGCCAAGCTTAAGCGAAGGCAACAACTGTCTGTTTCCAGGTGGCAGGGATTGAGTTGATGTCCAGTCGGGGTTGTGGGGAAAGGTTGGGGATTTAGTGATGCAGCCACATGCAATCTGGGGTTTCAAAAGGTTTTCACTGTCGGAAAACTCGTCGGAAAACCCGCCATGTACGATCGCGCATCCTCCATTCGCCCAAAAAGAGAACCTTAACTTCAACCACCGCAAAACGGCAACACTCTTTACAATTCAGAATGCCACCCACCCGGGGAGCTAGCTAAGTACGTCAAATCCGCAGTCAAGAGACTGCTCATTGGTTTGAGAGCAGAGCCGAAGGAGTGACTTCTTACCCCAGACTTTTTGCACCTGGAGCCGAAAGGTTCATGCGGGGGCTCCATCGCAGTCCCAGTTAGCTCTAGATGGAGGATCAGAAGTATATTTATGAGAAGCACGCCCACCTCCTGCCATAGCTCCAACTTTCCCTTCAATTGCGCTTTCTACCTCACATCCCAAATCTTTGTCGGGTCCTTCAGTCTCCAAGTCCCTTTCTGTGCGTGGCATCACGGCTTTGGCAATGTCGGGTAAGCATACTGCTGCCGATGAGGTCGCGGCGGCGTCAGAGATCAAGCGGCTGCTGGCAGAAGATTTGACCCCTTGGTACAAAAAGCCGAATCTGCTTCAGTTGTACTTACTCCTCATCCCTGCCGCGCTTGGGGTCGAAATGACCACCGGCTACGATGGGAGTGTCTTGAATGGATTGCAAGCTGTGGATCTATGGAATCAGCACTATGGAAACCCCCACGGGGCTATCCTAGGTGTGATGAGTTCATCTCTCGCCATTGGCACTGCTTGTGGAGTCCTCTATGTGCCGTATCTCAGTGATCGCTTTGGCCGCAAGTTCTGTATAGTATTTGGTTCAACTATCGTTGCTATCGGCGTTATTCTTCAAACCTGTTCCGTGAATGGTAAGTATGACTGAGTGGGCTAGCTCTAGTACTTCTCTGAATATTCGCTGACACGCAAGCAGTCGGCATGTTCATCGCCTCTCGCATTGTGATGGGTCTTGGATCCCCCGTTTCCTTGGCTGGTGCTGCGCAATTGGTGGTCGAGCTCGCCTACCCGAAAGAACGATCCACAATCGTGGGCTTATTCCAAGCTACATGGTATGCGGGTTCGATTGTCGCGGCGGGGGTCACTCTGGGAACCTATAACTGGACTACCCACTGGAGTTGGCGTCTGCCCACCCTGCTGCAAATTCTCCCCTCGTTATTCACTATTGCTTTCATCTGGTACGTGCCGATTACTACCAACCATAAATCTTACCACACCCTCTCTCCCCACCTCGGCACCATATGCTAACGTACTATGCAAGGTTCGTTCCGGACTCTCCTCGATGGCTCATTTCCAAGGACCGCCACGAAGAAGCACTCCAAATCCTGATCAAATACCACGCTGAAGGGGATGCCTCCTCCACCTTTGTCGCGGCCGAGTTCCTGCAGATCAGCGAAACGCTGCGTAAAGAGAAAGAAGCCTCAACCCGCCCATGGAAGGAACTCATCAGCACCAAGGCCAACCGGCGCCGTTTGCTTGTTGCCATTTGTGTTGGATTCTTCACCCAATGGTCTGGCAACGGATTGATCAGTTACTATTTGGCTAAGATCCTGGCGATGGTGGGAATTACGTCACGCACTACCCAGAACCAGCTCAACGTAGGCATCAACTGCTGGAACATCGTCACTGCCTTCTGCTCGAGCTGGATGGCGGGCTGGATGATGCGGCGCCGGCAACTGATGATCGCCTATATCGGTATGACTATCATCTTCGCCTGCTACACTGCCTGTGCCGGTGTCTATGCGGAGACCGCCAACAAAGCTGCCGGCATTGCTGTCGTGGCGATGATATTCCTCTTCAACGGCACCTACAACTTGATGCAGCCATTCCAGTATCTATACATCGGCGAGATATTCCCATTTATTCAAAGGTCCAAGGGAGTGGCGGTCATGCAGATGTCGGTACGGATTGCGGCCGTCTTCAACCAATTCGTCAATCCCATCGGCATGGAGAATATCCAGTGGAAATTTTTCCTTGCCTACGTGGCCTGGTTAGTCATCGAAACAACGACAGTCTACTTCTTTTTCCCGGAAACCCAAGGTCCCAGTCTTGAGGAAATCGCCCTGGTTCTCGAAGGTGATAAAGCTGCGGTCGAAGTGGTGGACAGCAAGGCACCCGTCGTGGAATTGCGAGAAAGGGTGTGAGGCGGTGTGGTCCAGCAAGGCTTGTCATTCTTTAATGAGCTGTTTGGGAAATGTTTGAAACGATTGTTTAAATATAACCCTAGGAATAAGTGGTTTTGAAGGGGGGAGGGGGGAACATATAAGAAGAGTAGGACGGCTATTCTATGAAGAATTAGGAAGGTCCAGTTGATAACCATATTTTACTAAAAGTGATGCTGCTTAACTATCTCTTCTTGTCACTTGTTAATGTGAATGAATCACAAAGTCGTACGAAAGGGGCTGGAATTGATTTTGGTGAACAGCAATCCCTCCGGTTCGTAGACTAGTAGATACCGGGGAAGATACGGCTGCGAACGATAGACGTATAGCGCTTCCAGTCGGCGCCATATTTCCTCTTGCACTTTTTTTCGTCGCGTCCCTCCCGGTGAATAAGCAGGACACCGAAATAAAGCAGGAAAAAGTACGTGAATACAATTCCCCACCCGCGCACTTCAGGGGTCTGTATAGCCTGCTTCTGTACATCGCCAGTGCTGTTAATGCTTTCAACTATGGTGTAGCCAGCGAGCCCGGTAGGCAATGAATACGACCACGACATCAGCCAATCGCCGAAGTAGTTGATATGGCGCGCCAATCCCCACCAGCCGGAAATCATCAGCTTAGAGCCACTTGATGTCTGAATGTATTTGATATTCTTCACACGGGGGTCGTTGGGGTCTGTACGGAAACGGTTCTTCTGATTGTTGGCGCCGCGGAAGATCGAGTATCCCACACCGGTAATGGTCAAAGTTAACAGAATATCTTTCAGGCGTAATTCCAAGGGGAAAACGGCAAGATATCTGGTTTGGAGGTTGTAGATGAAGGGCACCCACACCAGGTGTCCAAAAGAAAGCATATAACCGAATCCATCCATAATCACATCCATCGTGGTCAGAACCGCTCGTTCAATGTATAGCGCATCCAGAACATAGAAGGTTTGGAATGCGGTCGAGAGTGCGATAGAGTTTGAAATGTAGCCATACGTTCTGTATTGGCGAGCCATGTTGGACAAGTTCAATATGATCCACCCAAGCAGTCCTGGCCTCATCTCACACCATAAATTGATATCAATCGTCCTTGAGGCCTCGTCGACAAAAGGAATAGGCAATTTTACCCGTGGATTCAGCTCCCGGCCGATGAAGAAGTCATAGAGAGCATTTCCGGTTTGGCCACCCGGTGCTAACTCTCTTAGTTCGGGATTGGATTGATCAGTCTCAGGGACTGAGAAACTTTTTGCATAAACAAAGATGGCAAGGATCATGCAGATCATTAAATTCGCCGTGATAATCTGCAAGTAATTGTCCCAGAGAAAAACCCATATGACGAAATCAGCGCCGTACACGTATGTGCCCAGAGCTAAACCAGAGAGGATCCAAATGGCAGAGGAAAAAGCTAGAACCCGATTAGGCGTTACCATAAAAAGAGCATCCGAGGATTCATACCGTTGAACTTGTAGCGAAGCCTTCCTTTGCAGGCCAATTCAGTGCCCTCAACCACCTCGCCGGGTAGAAACACGTACAGAGCTAGACTGAGGAGGTAATAACTCAGCACCCACAGAGTCACCCGAATGTCAAAGAAAGCTTTGAGGCCGCCTTGGGGCCAACCAACTTCTTCCTTTAACTTATCAAGAGACAATGTCGACGGATTGAGCAGCGATGGAACAGGGCAGCCAGACACATCATTACAGAGGAAGGTAAAAGCATAGATGAGAGTTGAGAGACCAAAGATGAATACAATTGCACCGAGACTAACGAACGTTAATCATAGGGAACAAGCACATGACAATTGGGAGCACATACGGCTTACCAGACTCAGAGTCCCGTGTCCCCTGGACTGATTGAGCCGGGGCACTATCTTTGGAAACCTTTCTAAGCCTCATAGTATCTTTGAAATGAAACTCAATACTTCTCGAGGAAAGCAAGTATGGGAGACGTAACGCAGGAGCGACAAGAGCTGTTGCAAGGCCGCACGTACACCAGAGAACCCACCGAGGCAGGAAAAAAAGAGTACTGTGGGAATCTCAATGGCTCTGGAACTACGGACTCATATATGTTATGCGCTGACAGCACGGCGAGGCTTCCAAGAGTGCAAGCTGGTGGTCAGAGCCGGAAAGGTCGGTGACCGACGTGGGACTGCAGGTATTCTCGATCCTCCACACGAGCCATGTCTGTCGCAGTATGAAGCAGCCATGTGGGTCTTAGGCAGATGATATAGAATGATTCGACGACACTGCCAGAATCCATCTATTAACATAGATCCAAAATATTTATGTTTGCACGTTGTGTTCTATGTAGAGCAAATGGATACTAATACATTTCTGTGCGCACGCTTCTAAAAAAAACAACTATCCACATTTTAGTCAGAAGCTACCGAGAACTATCCTCTACCCCAATACCGCGATCGTCCTCGATATTCCAATCGTTCGGAGCCCGCGGAAAGCGAGACGGAAAGCGAGACGGTACCTCCAGGGTAGCTAGCCAGTGGCACTTACTCATCATGTATCCCGCCCCGAATACCGTGAGCCTCTCAGCAGCTCGGGTGCCTAAGATTCAAGGATAATCAAGGGCCAATCAGGGTTGTTCTGATTCGGATTGGGTCGATCCGACATGGCGTGGACCGGCTCTCGAGACCCGATACTTTTGCGGGGATGGTGTTCGCTAGGGCCCAGGGGCGATCGTCAATAAATTCAATTTTACTACCTATTGAGTTAAGGGTCCAACAATCTGACCCAGTCTATTACACACTCACCCTGCTCACCTCGCACGTGCTCCCTGTAGTGTCCAGTGCCTTTGTATTCTTGTAGTTGATTCAGCTAATCTTCTTCTTAGAGAGCTGTTGGAAAATGGATTTTAGCGGCATCCCAGAATTGTAAAACACTTCTCCGTTGTCACCGTAGCCATAGGACGTCCCCGAGGTCAGATATGCACGGTTGGGGTCAGTTGGGCTAGGAATAGCCGCGAACCAGGGATCAAAGAATACCTACCATTGCACTGGTGGCGGCGACAAGCTCGGGCTTATAGTAGTTGCTCATCTCGGCTGCTTCCATCATATTGTTCTGCAAGCTATACATGTAGCTTTGCTCGGTGACGAAGCCATTTATACTTAACTTTCCGTCTATAGCCGGGTGATAGGTGCCAAAGACTTGTATATCGCCACTAGTAATAGTATAATCGGGGTCGTCTAACGCGATATCTTGGGTAATTCCGGCCGCGCAGATATTCTGCGAGGCTGGCTGCGAGACGTTCGCTGGATTGTAGTACTTTCTGTTGATCAATCCGTCGATGTTGGGATTGTAGGTCAGACCCCCTATAAAAGTGTCGAACGATCGATTCTCTTGTATAGGCACAATAATATCCTGGATGTTGCTTATGCCCGGGGTGTGAGGTCGCACATAGCTCCGAGGTCGAGACTGAGCGTGATAAACGTAAGTGAAAGAGTCATTGCTGCGAGCTGACTGTGTGGGTAGTCGAATGTTCCGTCCTGACGAACAGCATGGATTTATTGAGTACCACTCATATCAATTATCCCTGCGAAATGATTCGGATCGATGTCGCATCCCGTTATTGAGTATATTCCGATGTCCCCCCATAATTATCGCGGTCTACTAAGAGCGCTCATTTTCTCTGTTATTTGTCGATCACTTACTCACAATTCCCCTAAAATCCCCGCATGTTCAACTGCGTTAGTGAAACCAGGAAATTTAAGAACGACAAAGTATACATAATACACGCGTGATGCTTGCATAGTCGCAGTCTTTGTAGCGGATTTGACGCTCAGTTGCCCAGGTGCCCATGTTTGCTTACAGATCAAAAAGGCCCCAGGGCTCCCAGGCAGTAAGGCTCTAAGGCCAGGACATCAAACGCGCCAAGTATCGCATATCTAAGTGGCTAGCGCACAAGCGTGGATGTGAATCGCGATTTCCCGATTTCTGTATCTGAATTTAATCCTTTAATTTCCTCGGCAAGCTACGGATGATTCAATGTCGTTCTCATTCTCTTCCCGAGTTTCTCTCAGAAGCTCAACATACCTGTTCAGCACCCCTACGAGAACACTCACTAGCATTGTATCTTTATCTACGTGCTGCACTGGACAAGCCGTCTTCGCCTCACGGTTAGAGAAAATACCATATCTGGGCACTAAGCCAAGGACTCACCGATTTCCCTGGGTCAGGGGGAGATCACTACCTCGGCCATTTTCGTCCACATCAGCAACCATGGTCATCGAGGACTCCAAGAGAACCCCATGGCGTCGAATGTGCGACAATATGGCTGACCTCATTGAGAGAAATTTGGAGACAGATGGGTTCCGTTACTGGGGTATCACTATGTACCGAACCACCTACAAGAGCGATGCGGACTGGGCGAAATTCCTCGATCGGTTCATGGGTAGTGTCCGCATAGAACTGGAAAGCGACGATGGGCTCGATATGTTGGATTCCTTTCGGCCTGTTGTGATGGAAGACGCGCGCCGTTTTGACGGGGCTACGCCTGATCAAATACGGGACGCTTTTAAGGAGTGGGCGAGGGTGGCTTGCGAGATAGAGCAAGGGGTGCCATATAAACGTGCAGAGTTGGCGTACTCGGCCCGATATCGGCTGTGTATCATGGTTGACGAGGAGGCGTTACAGTCTGTGCTGGATATACCGACCGAGGACTTAGAAGCGTATAATACTACTGGATTTGTGATTCTGATCAATGGGAGGTGGCCCCCAGAGTGGGACCCCGAAGAGTTGGCTGCAGGAGGGGGTCCAGATGATGGACACGAGCCAGTGTACGGCTGTACGTTAGACGAGGTTGGCTGGATGAAGGTTCGATATGATGAGGCACAGATTGGAGCCTCCTCACGCATGACTGATGATGGGGATTGGGGCGTTGAGTATCGACGGCCACCGGCCATTGGTTTTCACTTTTGAGCGGGGACCGGTCCCCACGCCCGAGCGATATATTTTCTGGACAAGAATCATATATATTACTGTGACTAATCTTTTCTTTCCCTGCTGTTCTGGTCTTGGTACAAGTCTATGAAACTCTAACACAAATGACATAGCCAACATCCAAATACTGACAATCTGACCCAATCACCGGATTCCACTCGTACAGCTGCGCAAATGTTATTTCGAACGCACCCTCGACCGCCGCGCACGAGTCCCCGGAAACGACCGTGTAGTATTCGTTGCAATTGGACGCGATGCCAGTCTATGTAGGCGGGGGTTGATGGATGGGATCTTACTGCCGGGATTCCACTCATAGAGTTGGGCAAGAGTAACTCCAAACTCAGTCTCAATTGTCGAACAATAATCTCCCGACTCGACAGTGAAAAACTCCAAGCATGACATCAAAATCTCAATTGATCAGTTGAGGGAGATCCCAGAGGACGTCTGGAGTGAGCAAGACCTATAAATTTTCGACCCTGGAGCACCGATATATTGCTTTTTTCCGGCTTTACACATGGTATTCTTAGCTTAGCTCTCTTCGCTTCCTCGAAAATGACACATTTTCTACTACACTACTATTCCTGTCAGTATATAAATCAATAACTAACTACATATGTATGTACTTATACTTATGTAGTCGCCCATACAAGCTCTCCAGGGCTAGAGTGGAGACAAGATGACTAAGGCTCGTTATCTTATCTCCTTGCTTTCCATATCGGAGCTCATTTATCATTTTTGACATTCACTCGATGCTTTTACTTAACTCCCAAACAATGAGATCCGCCAACTGGAACCGCTTCGTCAACTGAAATATATTCGCGATGGAATACCCAGACCCAACACCGACTGAGGGGCCTGGGACATCCTACCCCGCAGAGCACCCTCAACCCACCAAACCTGCCGAGGACTCCAAAGGATCTCACGACCCCAACCCAGCTCCAAAGGAACACACCCGCGGAAGTCACAGCCGGGCATTTCGTTTTAAAGATGGCAGTCGCCCCCATCGAAAAAGAACCCACCGTCACAGATCACGAACACGAGACAGCGAACCCTCCAAGCGGCGCCATCGCGAGGAGAAACAACCCGACCCTACAGCCGAAGATCACTTCGGTTCAACCAGAGATACATTCCGAGAATCCCTCTTCGACGCCCTCGGCGATGACGAAGGCGCAGCATACTGGGAATCCGTCTACGGCCAGCCAATCCACAATTACCGCGTACCCGAAGTCCAACGGGGCCCGGAGGGCGAGCTGGAGCAAATGACCGAGGAAGAATACGTTGAGTACGTCCGTCGACGGATGTGGGAGCGGACACGGGAAGGCATGCTTGCGGAACAGGAGCGTCTGCGTGCCGAGCGACAACAGAGAAGGAAGGAGGAGGCTCAGCGGAATGCGCAGGCTGGGAGGGAGGAGTTTGAGCGCGCAATGGATGAGAGTTTACGGCGAGGCGCGGAGCGCAAGAAAGCCAAGGTTGAGTGGGGTGCGCCATGGGCTGAGTATTTGGAGAGCTGGGAGAATATCAGGAAGGCTGTGGAGGGGTCTACTACTAAGTCGCTGCGCAATTTGATCTTCTGGCCTGTTCGTTCTGGGAAGAGGGTTGATGTTCGGCCAAAGGCTGTTGAGGAGTTTATGCGTCATGCTCCGGCGCCGGCGGAGTTACTTGGTACGCTTAAGGCGGAGCGCATTCGCTGGCATCCTGATAAGATTCAGCATAGGTATGGTGCGTTGGGGATTGATGATGTTGTGATGCGCAGTGTCACGGAGGTCTTTCAGATCGTGGATCGCTTGTGGAATGAGGAGAGAGAACGGCAGAACTAATGAGGTGGCGTCTTGATTTTTGTACTATATACCATTTGATACCCCGAGCATCATGCTGCATACTATAGAGCTTCTTTTTTTTTTTTTGAATGATCATGACTTTAATTCATTTCAAGGATGAACAGAAAAGAAAACAATAACTATTGTAGATCAGAATAAAAAGAAGAGCTTCAAACGGGCTATGTATGCAAGATCCCTTTCGTCAGACAGAAACTGGGATAAACCCAGAGACCAACTTGAATCGCACAGAAGAAAGGATTAAATTCTGCGCCTTGCCAAATTTCCATACAACGTAAATTTAGAAACGCGATGACCGGGCCTTGGTCCGGTAGATCGTCCAGCCAAAGTAACCACCGACAATAACGGCGAAGAACAGAACGGTCTTGAAGAGGAACCAAGACCAGCTACTCTTCTCCTTGACAGGCTTAGAGGAGGGACGAGCACGGCCCTTGGACCGGTCTTCCGTGGTCTTGCCCTTGTTGTTATTGCTGCGGTTAATGGAGTATAGGTTCTCAGCCTTGAGGGAGATGATGTCGTGGTTGTCGCTCAGCTCGCCGGTCTCGGCGGAGAGGCCCAAGTATGCGACGGAGGGGATGGCGATGTTGGAATCCTCAGCGGAAAGATTGAAGCACTCGGTCCATGTGTCTTCGCTCTTGTACTGCAGCTCCAGGGACAAAGACTTGTCCTGGAAGTAGGTAAGGCGGGCTTTGGTGGGGACGGGCGCACT